GTAGTCTGAGAAGCGGTAAAATTATAATTCCATACTTTTTGGAACTCTTTTAAAGATCTTTCAAAATCATCCCACAACACGAAACGCTTGTTCAGTATCATACTTCGAAAGGCATCGGTTAGGTCGACTGAAACGTCACTTGAGCATGAAGCGCTAAAAACAGACATGACTAATTATTAAAAAGTTATTCCTTGCAACAACAATAACCCAAGGAAATACTACAAATACTTAGGATTTACCTGTGACTTGACATTTCGTTGAGCATTACTACAGGTATTGGGATCAAAGATCAAATTACAAAGCAACAACAGGGCCAAAGTGTACACTACAAAACAGAGAACGCTAAATTAATGGTTTTGGTTTTTATTTCGTGCTTTTTTATGTAGCATAAGATGACTTATATATGAAAAAACTTGATACTCATGCAATCCAACCAACCCACGGCAACTGAAATACGGAATGACCGCCTCTAGTCAAGCCGTTCAAGGTCGTTGAAACGAAAGGGCGGGCACATTTCGAAAGGACCTAACGTTTAAACCGTGCCGAGATGCTTGGACTGTTTTCATATCCATTCTCTTTTCTAGGGCTGGACAGTATGAAACGTAATAGTTTGAAATATATGTCAAAGATAACTGAAAAAATCGTCAATCCAGAAATCGGTTTTAGAAGTAGATCCACTGGCTTTCTAAACTATAAATCTCCAAAAGGTAATATTGAAGTGGAGTTCTATTAGGCCATAATATCTTGCCTTCTGTTTTCTACGCGATCAGTTTGATCATTTGAAATATTACGACTAACACAAACTAGTGTGAATTCCTTTGTAGATTTTGACCATAATCCACATGATGAGCCTACCTATAATGCTAAAATAGCCACTATTTCACCATTCGGGTTAGCGTAAAGGCATAGAAGCTTTACTTGCGTGATATTAAGTTGAATCTTGTAATCACAACTAACTACATATATTGTCCGCCCCTGTTAACTTCACATTTATTCGAATCAGCCTCCGTGTGATATTACATTCAAACAGTTACGCGGCATTTTCAAGCGTAAAATTTCTTTCCAATGTTATACTTTGTACACAAAATTTCAGCCGATGCATGTGAATTAGAGATTGTGTAAAACTGTGACTCATGAACAGGGCATGATATTGCATAAATTGTATGTTGATTCCGTCAGCCAGCCCTGGTTGTATGTGAACTGGTTTTGTAACCAGTCTGTGATAGTTCTCAGATTCCGAAAAAAGAAGGGTGAGATAAATAAACACATAAATATGAGATGTGCATAGATGAGAAATCACAATTATTTACACGAGTGAATGCAAAATAACTAGTAAGAATACCGCCATGTAGCTATCAGTTCACGCAACGATTTGGGTAAACATATGACACAAATTTATGACATAACGTGTCTAGGTGAATACCATGTTCCAAGAAATCATTTTTGGGCGGGATGAACTATGTTATTCAGTGACTGTCATGTGTAGCTCACCTTTTGTTGGGAGTCAGGCTACACTCTACCTGCATTATATTCTAAAATAAAATTTAACCAGGAATAGTAATATTTGAAAAAAACTAAGGAAATAACCGTAGAATTGGGTAAAAATCAGGCCGACTTATCAATATCGCTCAGTGTAGTTCCGGAACATCGCAACCAATCAACAGAACAACTTCGCCATAATCTAGGCTATTTGAAATTGCGTCAAAAAGGTGCGGGCACCTAATTAGATTGTTCAATACCGATGTTGCCGGCTCATGTCCAGGTATACTCTCCAAGATGAAAGTCTCTCCACCAATGAAGTGTCCAGTTCGATCTGAATAATACATCTCAGAAGGCGTATTCTTAAATATTACTGTTTTATTACCACTTACTGTCCGGAATACCTCTGATATTTGGTCTTTCGTTAACCCGAGTAATCACAAGCAGTCTGAGTTTACCAGTGTTGTGTCAGAACAATTATCTTTAAGAGCCTAGATGACAACTTCGGCGTAACTCGGTCTTAATCGTACGGGAATCATTATCAAGCACGCCTGACTGTAAATTCACAACAATTTTTGGTTCCAGATTTGCCTTTCGAGCTCTTGAATGGTGAAGCACTATGTAACAGACAGTGATGACTCTTCGTACAGTTTTCAAATTTGTAACGCCTGGTTGACCCACCTTTATTAGCTCAATATCATTGCCTGAGACAATCAAACCTGTACACAAGCCGGCGACATCGGTGTTGAACAATCTAATTAAGTGCCCGCACCTTGTTAATGTCGAAATTCAACCAATCCACGAAGTTGCGCCACCGTACACCACTGTCTTCAGTGAGTTGACATCTCACAACAGACCTGGTTGAACTCCACTGGTAGCGGCTTCTCACTAGAACTTCTTACTAGGTACGAATATCGCGGAGGGCGGGATCGTATGTGCGCACTACTGGGGAGTCCCATACTAGGACGAAACGGCCGTCCTGTGCTTCCAGAATTTCCATGGCGGTCTAGCTTCAATTGCCTCATCTTTTCAATTAGTAGCCATCAAAAGAAAAAGATTCAACACAGAATTAACGAATCAAAGTTTATCCGATTGGGACAGACTACGTTCATCCGTTTAGCGTACGAAGCATTTTTGATTGTCTCGTATTAAATTATGTCAAAACACGGTTCTTATTCGAAAATCAGGCTAAATCATATCAGAAGTACTAAATACATCAAACGGTACAGCCGGTGCCATAATGTCAAGGGATCCTCTCGCGCAAACTAACGTGCTAACAGCAGAAAATGGTTAGTAGGCAACAGTTAAGCACCAGAGAACCAACAAAAATATTCCCATGAAGATGAGACTAGACATCTATCTGTAAGTGTTTCAACAACCATACATGCTGTGACCTCGATTTTAGTCAAAAATGACTTTATTTTCAATGGTCTGGTAAGATATAACATTTAGTTAAACAATAAAAGGCAAATCTTTAACCAACGTCAAATAACAAAAGCACCTACAAGAAAGACCGAAGAACACAATGTGTGGTTTAGAAGACACCCGGATATAGGAGTGGAAAACAGCTAAATGACGATTGTGTTCAGTGAAATGTTGGGGATTTTTAGCGTTTTTTTCCGCTACAAGCTGCGAGGATTGTATTGTGAGATTTAAATATAAGCATGTCCACTTATTTCCGTTGATCGTTTTTCCCTAAAAATTTCCACCCTTTTATCTTCCGGCAGAATAAAGCCACCGAGTATCGGAATCCACATTGATCAACTGCAATAAAGTTCGGGTGTTATAAGTGTTTTGATAGCATATGAACCTCCTGTAAAGTCTCAAAACCTAGCTCGGCCTGCTGTGCACAATACGACGCATCAGTAGAGTGGACTTGTTCAGAGCTATTACTACCAGTTTATAGTGCAGCTATCAAAAGGTGCAAGATAGATCTATCCTTCCTTAGATTGATGGATATTCATCTTGTCGGACTGCTTTTACTATTAAGTCACAAATTAACCGACCCTGTTTGTATATCAGATATCCTACTACCAATACTCGATATAATATGAATTGCATTAACCTTCCACTGAGTCAGTGTGCCAGGTATCGAGAGGGTTTCTATGAAAATTCAGTCGAGAACGCCAGAACACAGCTATTTGACTAAACTTCCTCCACTCAAGAGAGTATTGCTGATTTGGTCGAACCGTAGTGGCTGGTAGGATATGTTCATTTGTCACAAACAGCAATTACTGATCCTTGTTTTGCTTATCTTTATTGGTCATGAATAAGGCTGTCTGATAGCTGAGTTCGACTTTAAGTGTTGTTTGAAACGAAACGAAAAGAATAAACCGGAATGTCTCTGGGAGCAGTCAACTGGTAACAATTACTCCAGTTGATATGTAACAGATGATAGCAACTGTAACAGAAATGTGATGAGTCAACTGTGGACTCGGGGTCTTTGACACTGAAGTTTCTCATTCGTTTGTAGCTTAGATGAATGACGATGGTTTCAAGTATCTACTTAACGATTACGCTGCGGAACGCTTCGGATACCATAAACTGTATTGAGACTGGAAAATTCGAGGATTAAAGTGCAGCCCTTAAGGCATTTTCCTACTTGTTTCTGGTCCTTGCTTTTGTAAACTTACACCGTAATAATCGGACATAATAATATATTTCTGTCAGGCAGGTGCATGCCATCTGACAGTCTCCCATTTAGTACGTGATGGGTATGATGCAACCCATTCATGTTTTTAGGCTGGTGTTTGGGGGATTTCGAATAATGTTTTTGGGCATCAAATTTTCTACCACAATCACGACTAATGAATATGATAATTGTCTAAAAACGTGCCACATATATTTCGGCTTCCCAACTCCTTTGTCCGGCACTTTGTGGTGGACAGAGATGAATTGTTCTAATAAATATTAACAATAATTACTGATTGATTTGGTGCAATTTTGCTAGGTGTACGATCATACAATTTCGAGAACGAACAGTACCTTTGGATGTTGCTATGCAAGGGAATTTGTTTTTTTTACAGAAATCTCTACCATTCACGACTTATCACAGGATGCGTTTGTAGTCTTGTTAAGAGTGGTAGATTCTGGAAGAGTAGGATCCATTTTACTTTCCTCTGCCGTCAGAGACTTCACTTCTGAAATTTATTCACTGCGGCTGACCTCTTATATGAGTATGATACATTTTTAGTTGAGTCTTCCCTGAGTAGCGAACAATTTTGCGCACTTCAATAAATACTGGGGTAACACAGGTCCTTCATGAGTGATTGAAAAACGCACATTGCTACAGCGAGGTTTAGTTCAAAGTTGTCAATATTTAGCTTGTATGTCTCTGATAATAGGTGGAATTTAAGATCGAGTTGCCACATCCTAACTCGATTAATCTGATTACGAAAGAGAAAATTAAATGTTACTTGCGGCTGTAGACTTCAAAAAACTGTTTAGTTCTTGAATCTTTCATATCCTTATTAGTATACTCCTGTATATACCATGATGATCGATACATTGCTAACACTGAAAACATGGCAGAGGAAATCCCATAAAATTGTAATTGTAGTTCGGCTCATGAGTAGAATATGAATATTTCTACTAGTCAAAAATAAACAAGAAAAGTATAGCGGCCTGTTTGCCAACTGGTTGTCATTTACCAAAGGTCGACGTAAAACTAGTGCGTGCAACTATTGTGACTCTCCCAAGGTCAGATCAGCAAAATAATCTGGCATTTAAAGATATTTATCGTCTGCCTGAATAAAATCAACTTGTAACTATCATGTGATTTGCGATACTTTGTTTTGTCCGACAGTATTAGTTCTTCAGTTGCACTACCCACCTCAATACCAGTAACACTGATGGATACTTTGCCAAACAATCATAATAATATCGAGAATTACACTATTTTCTAGAAATACTGCAATTTTTTATGTACAGTTTACTCTCCACGGTTTTACTACGTATTGACTATAGTCATGGATGCGCAACATCAACTCAGTGCTAACTAGTCAAACAATAGTTTGCATACGTCCTTCAATTGATAGCCAGCCGGTGTGGTGTTACGGCTAATCCTCTGGTCAACATTTTTACGTCACTCGTAGCTATATGACTAGAAAGCTCTGATTAGTGTTTGGTAATATGCATAGCGAAGCAAACGAAAAAACGGTTGTTTTTGAGATATCATTACCTGATGACGAGGGCTGCCATGAATGCTCTTATCTCGAGCTGTTTCAACAACACCTGGTACTATCACGTAACATGTTTATTATCAGTTTGTTGTTCTGTTTGACTGTTTCTACTATCTTCATATTTGTCGGTTTTATTTTGCTTCTTGTATTTTCTCGACTAACTAAGATATATGCTGTTATTACGGTGTACTTATTGCCCAGTCCATTCTTATTGGCCAGGGCTCGACCTTGAGCGTGGGCGTCGTACTGTTGTGCTGACGTTAGCTACAGACTCTGTTTTTAGTAAAATAACACGTTTTTATTTTGAATATATCAGGAATCAAATAATAATCAAAAAAATGGGGATAACCCTTTCGCATCCAATGAAGCTGCAGAAGAAAAAAAGCTTTCTGACCTAGCTAAGGCACTCGAGAGGAAATATGTAAGTAACATGTCGTTTGTGTAACTTAATTTCAGGGGACTATGGTTACTATGAAGAATAGTGGAAAGCACAAGCGAGTTCGTATAGATGATTTCTTGGACCCAGGAGATGGATACGATACACAAGATTCATTTATCGATGATTCCGAAGCTGTAGGGTCCCTTCACATTTTCTATTGTAATATGCAGATTGATGTATTTGTGGCCCCGAACATTTCTACTAAGTTTGGAGGATATTTTGTACATCAAGGAACTGTTGAAGGACTTGAAGATCAGAGTGCGAAAATTGAGGCCCCTTGGAGTGCAAGGATATTGGTTTGTGTAAATGAAACTGATTCCATTATCCGATAGACAAATACTAATTCATCTCAAAACGTTATGAGGAAAAAAAATAAATCCAAGTCAGTGCCATAAATTTCATAACATTTTCTTAGAGAGCTTCTGGATAAAGCCGTCAAACGCTTGTCAACTCCTAATGCTTTTAAGCCTAAGTTGTTTCTGTCGGAACCCCGAACCCAAATGCGCAATTTAGACTCCCTATTTGATGAGGTTTTGTACACATCGACAGCATCTGAACAAGACAGTAACGCAAAAGGCATTGAGAGCTGTGAGGACCCAAATGATAGAAATGACTCTTCTGTCGTCACTGCAAAGTCATCATGTGACATGGGAAAACCAAAAGTTCTTCCTGAGAATTTACCACCAGACATAGTAGCATGCCTTAACAACTTAACAGAGGTAAGTTAATTATTCATTTGCGTTACTTGGAACGTAGATTTATAAAAACTATTTGAAGATAGAATGTTAGTGCAAGCCATTTGAGTAAGGGAGATAAGAAGCATTCATTAAGTAAAGCATATCTCTTAAGGAATGAGTGGTATCACTCGTAAGGTTTTTTGACTTTTGAGTATTTTAATCACTATGGGATCAGCATAGATAATGATTTCAAACAAGTGAATTAGATTTTCAACGAATATTTTCTTTCCAAAGTATCAGTCAGCAATTAGTTTATTGGTCGTGTTAAAATGTCCAACAAAAAACGAGTAAAACCAAGTAAATGAAAGTAAAGCAGCATAGTTGGGAAAGCAGTCCAGTCAGGAAAAACACAATCAGAAAAGATTCAGCTAAAAAGTTTTTCTCACTTATATGAAGTTGCAGCAAGGCCGCAACTGGCTCCTGTCGTAAGCCATGTTGGATATTGTCTCGAATCAGTGTTGTACTATCTTTCGAACTCCAACCAGAGGGTCTTCAAGGACCAATATATCTCAGTCCCGCACAGCTTGCATATCATACACTGACCATCTCTGCTCTTTCTAACCAGTCGATCGGGAAGTAATGTTTGATGTGGAATTCACTGTATTGTATGCTAGAAAGCAGTCGGTTCTGTTAGAATTTATTTATTATTATTTATTTTATGGCCCCCAAATGCCCTGGTACGGCCGAGAATGGGGACGTATTCGTGCGAGCCTTTGTTGATTATGATCGACTGAGGGTTATGAATCAGGACCTACAAAAGTGGATGACATATATGGTCTACGAACATTTGTTCAAACTACTGCTTGTACGCGGTGGACTACCAGGTGAGTAATGCATAGGTTGAACTTAGAGCACTAGGCATATATGGCAAATTGGTTAATGAGTTGACTGAGATGTCTAGAACATCTATTTCATACACCCAGCCACTCCCTATCACAAACTACAATATTGACTTTAGTAGGAATAAGTTGGAAGAAAGCTAGGGACGAGAAAACCAAGACGTGAGATCAGTACACAAAGTTATTGACTGCTGTTCTGGACCCTTTTAGTAGATCTGAACTACCTAGCTGAGGTCAGTGCAATTATCGTAATTACTAGTTAAAGATCTTGGTTGACTTGACTTAGAATTGTCCTCACTAACGCAGGTAAATTCACTCTTTGTCTTTTCTCAAAATTGGTCATAGCGCAATTAAATTCATTCTCGTTGACTACCACTAGTAATGTTACTACCTTTACTCTGGAATCTGCCTTGATTTTTTCATTTAGCTGTCCTGATGGAGTATGGCAACTTGAACCGATACACACATGTGCCTAGTTCTACGTTGCATATGACTGACTGACTGACTGACTGATTAGATCGTCATTTTAGTGTTTCATCCATGTATCGTAATAGGTTTCTCATTTAACTGCACTTTAGTTCCTCCTTGTTGCTGCTAATCTTGTTGATTTTCTTCTACGTTGTTAATATGCAGTGTGATGCACACTCGTATCAGGTCATACACTGATAACAACTGGTTGTAAAGTCTGGGTTACTGTTGGTTGTAGACTGGGAATGTACGAATGAGGGTTTTGTGACAGGTTTATGATTTGTAAAATTTTGTTTGCTTGAAAGTTTTGTTTACTAAAATTCCCCGAATAGTCGTTCCAAGAGAATAGTCAGGTCATATACATGCTTACTGAGTGCCTTGTTGATGTGATTGATATTTTTCATTAAGAGTTTACATATTTTAGTTGATAACTCATGTGTTTGAATCAATTGCCTTTTTGACATTTGCTGTTTCTTATTCAATTTATGAGTAACTTAATTCCAGCTCAATAAACATGGAACAAATCAACGTCGTACACTAGGAAAACCATTTGATACAGAACTACTAAAGTAAGTTTTGGATTGTAATAGTTAGTCTTAACGTTAGTTAGTTGACTTATCATTATCTGTTTTGGTAGGAAAGTGAACACTAGTGTGGTAAACTCTGGATTCTGTTTCCCCATTATTTATTTGTAGCGTGGTTCGGTCAGATAAGTTGTGTGAATAAACAAGTAAATTGTACTCCAGTTTGTATGATTTAATCGTTAAACAATTATTTCAGAAAAAGTAGTTTTCACCGGCTGTTAGTTTGTGTTGTCGTTATACAAATTACAGTCCCTATTGATATTGTGTAGAGATGCTTAAAAATATGTTATACAGCTAATTCACTCATTTTCTAGGCTATTCAGTTATTTTTAAACTTCATAGCATTACCACAAACTTCATTTGTTTTTGAGAGCTTTAACCTAGTAGTGAATGTACTCAGGTTCCAACTAGTAGACTATATTTCTGAGTTTTTCTTCACCCACTTCTATTTTGGCCTCCGGATAGTATCACTATCCTTAACAGTGCAACTTGAAGCATAATATGTAGTCATGTATTTGGTGAACTAGCTTCATAATCAACCCAAATAAGTTTGATGGTTATTTTCTCGAGATATAACATCAATACGCTGGAAAATATTATTTCTTCATGATTTTCGACTACTCGTTCTGTCCTGTAAAATAAAAGCCTCAGTAATGTGACAGTTTGATAGCTGTTAATCGGAGGTGGATAGAAACAAGATCTGGATAGCCATTTCTTATTGTGAAGTTCCAACTAGGTTTTGTATTTGTTCAACTAATATGAAACAACCTGGACGAGAGCATCTATACTTTTAAAAAATCTTGTTTAACTCAGTAACCAGGGGCAAGTTCGTGTACCCAGTTCTGAGCCACGCACTTTGTATGAGTACTAGTAATATCACCTAGGTGCTCAAACCGAAGTAATTAAAGTGGGTTTCTATGACCTTCAACCTAACGCCTGACACGAATGCTTCAACCAGTAAGCCTCCTTATTATACATGATATTAAAACTATTTCTCTCAATTCACGGAGCTCCAAACTTATCATAAAAGGAAACGAAACGATTTCAATTTAATGCACACATTATTTTTGATTGTTATGAACCGGAACTAGTTTTCACGCTTATAACTATAACTCAAATCAGTTATTATTTATACTTTAAACAAATGGGTTGTAATAGTAACTATACTCGACTATTCATGTTAGCGAGAAATGTCTCAGGAGTTTTGTACACAAGTATGTTATTTGTAACGTTAATGAGTTTTGACACCAAATCTTTCAAAAGTACTTTAATTTGTAAAAGAATTCTCGTAATCCAGTGCTTTGCTTATTTAAACATAAAAATTAGTATGAGAAGGCACCGAATACACATGTGTTACATAAATCATCCGGTTTATGTGAGGGCTGGGATATTACCCGGGCGCTCAGACCGAAGCAGGTGGTTTTCCTAGGAGGTCACTCCCTGAGCCTTCGACCTAAGGGTCTAATCCACAAGGCGGTGGAACAACATTAAGAGATACAGTCCCATGGTGGCTGTTGACCAACAATGGGTTCATACACCATTTGTTCCCTCAGGATTCTGGAGCCCATATGCACCACTGGTTTGTAATCAGAGTCTTCCAAGTCCCCTAGGTGGGTCCTCTATACCCACCAACCCAATCAAAGCTCCGAATATTCGCTTTTCGTCATGTCACGAACAACACATCCCATCATAGTTTTGGTCACAATCTTCATAAGTGTCAATGAATTATATTAAAAATTTGCTATCTTCTTGGAACATGTTTTCAATGAGTAGCTCAGTTTACAGATCTATTTCAATAAATAAATGTTTATATTGATGGATTGTTTACTTTCGACTGATTGGTTTGTTGTTTCGACTAATTATTTCTAAAACTATTTTGTTCATAATATTTAGATTGGATGTAAAGTTGAAAGAATTGATGATAAATCAGTCTGTGAGGTCAGATGTATTCAGCTACTTAGAAAGTCACTTACAATTGAAACACAAAGCTGTAATGCGTAGACTTAAAAGATTGAAAGAAGATAAACAAGAACAAAGAATGAACCCGCTATTGGATGCTCTTGGTGAAGGTATGTGATCATTGTTACTAGGTAGCTAAGCGTACTGAAAAGTTTACTGTAAATAAAATGACAGATCTGTTGTACCTTTTCTTTCAAACCTTACTTTATCCACCTTACAATGAATTTTTAGAAAAAAATCACATAACCGGGTTAAAACACACATGTTGGTACTCAAAATCTGGGTTCTTTGAATACACCTTCACTAACAAAAGTTACTAGTTGTGTTCGGTAGGCAGTGCGACTGAAGACTGATCTCATTGTAGGGCAGAGTTATGTTCAATTTTTTATAACTTACGGATATTACTATTTAATTTTCACCCAACCTTCACTATCTGTTTTTCCCCACCTTGCTATAAGAAGCCGTGTTACCACTTTGCTAGTTCAGTATTGTCACTTCATGCGTATCTAGTCAACCTTGTACATACGTTCTCAGTGTAAATATAAGTTTTATATGTGGGGTCTATGAAATAACTAAATCTTTTAGCTAGAGTCTTCAAAAGGACTTATTTTCTGGTTTTGTTCTTATTTCCTGACTTAAGCTATTTCATCGTCTATGCCTCCAATTATTGAAAGTTATACAAGAGATAAAGAGGTTCACTTGGAACGTATCAAAGCTTGGCAAACGGAGTAAGTTAATAAGTTGATATATTTAACTGAACTGTTGTTCTAAACACTTCAATTTTAACTGCATGGTGGGTTTTTGCGTCTTATAAGTTTTGGTTCGGACATCCTGGTGTTACTTTTTAATCCTCACCAATAGTACTATTCAAAGGTTGGCACATAAATATTTACTAACTGGTTTTCAGTTTATGGGTATTAAATAGCTACCGCAATTAGAATTATTGAATAATTGAAGGTAATAATTACTCATTTTAAGATTCGGTTATATTTTGACATTCAGTTATTAACCATTTCAGTTTGTTATTCTGCTGTATTCTGGTAACCATTTGCTCGGTATTAGTATTTGTTTAGTGTAAAATTCATCTTAAGTTATAATTATTCAAATGTAATTATAAATTACTAAGAAAGGGGATCTGTACATAAGGTATGCTATTTTTCTTCTAAATTCTTTGCAGCCATGGACTAGGCTTGTAGTGAACAGAACACGGGTGGGGACAGTCGAGTGTATTTGACACAAAATTACAGGGCATCTCAATAAAATCTGAGAACTATATATTAAATCGTTAATTTGCAAAATGTCCACCAATTGTCTCAAAATGCCTCAGACTTCATTGTTCTTACATTTTCATACAAATAACATTCTATTTCCACTCTTGCTTTCTTGATCTTCCCACATCTTCCGCTGCCAGACATTACATACCTGACTCGCGTCATATACTACTTATATCAATATAAGTAGCACGCACCACAGGCTTTTCCCACTTAATTGTTGGGAGTCTAGGTCAAGAGTTTACTATTGCTTTGATATTTTCGAGATGCTTATGAAAGAGCCGGTTATAACCCAGTTGAAAAACTATGTAAAATTGTCAAACATTTCTGACACTGGCTTATACTGCAGGATCTAGTTTTACAATCTATGTATGTAGTAGGTTTGAGGTTTAACAGTAGTTTTTCTAAATTCGCGGTTATTGAATCGAGTCAAATTATACTGAATAGCTGTTTAGGTTCTTTGTAGCTATCCGGTTGGGATGTTAACGCTGCACAGTTGTGATTAGGGACTAATTAGCGTAGAGTAAACGGAATTTTCTCTATTTGTAATCTATGTGGTTGTTAGCCACGGGTTTTCTTCGATCATTTTGGTACCCTCTACCAAGTACAAATATCTTCAGCGACAATCCCCTCAACTGTTTTTTTTTCGGTTTCAGAAATTTGCAAAGCGGTTCAGATTTAAACGATAATCAAGGTGTTAATGGCTCAAGCGACGGAAGCTTATCGAAACGCCCTCCAAAACCCGGACCTCCTAAGAAAATCTACCGATGGAATTCTGAATGCAGGTAAATTATTTACCGTCATATATGTTTCACCAATTTTGAATAATACTTCGCTATTAACGTAAAATTGAGTTGTAAGACTTATAATCGACTGATCTCTGTTACCTACATAAAGTTTACAAATTAGGTAGAGTTCGGGTCTTATGAACACTAGCTAGTCTTAATATTGAAGAAAATATCAGACAGATGGCAATTCGCATGGAAATTTTATGTTTGTTGTGAAGTATTCATTCACCCGAGTCTTCGAAAAATTTTAATGATGCTTGCCGTATAAGTGTGGCACACAAACCGACAAAATCACTACAATCAATCTTATGCAAACCAAAAGATGAAATAACAAAGGAAAACAAATCAAACATCATCTACAAAATAAATTGTGCCAACTGCGAAAAACACTACATCGGACAAAGCGGGCGCCCCCTTCACCTTCGCCTACATGAACATCAATTAGCAGTCAAACGGCATGATATCTCTTCACTTATATCAATACACGTGGACAACTGCGGACACTCATTCGATTTGAAAAATGTGGAAATCTTAGACAGAGGAAACTCCAAAAACACCAGAGAATTTTTAGAAGCCTGGCACTCAGGTCAATTAGCAATCAACAAGCATATTGAAATCAATCCAATTTATCAACCAATCAGAAAAATCATGCACAAACATAAGAACAAAAATCAAAACAATGGGAGACACAACCAAAACAAAGAAGTAAACAACGACAAATTTAAGGTCAATAAGAACCAATCAACGTCGAGGTGCACAGAACAAGCTTTGAGACACATATGGAGAAATTCAAACACTTCACTTCTATCTGAAGTTTGTGCTGATGATGTCGTTCAGAAGAACGATGAAAGCTCCACGACCAAACCATCCATCTCAGAGAACAAAACTCCATTAAAATGATATCGCTCTTAATTGAGTAAAATATTGTAACGGCGCACTATCTGAAAATTCCAAACCTTAGTTATAAATGAACTAAGGTTGTCTTTCATCAATTTTCTTATAGATGTATTTTTATCTTTTGGTTATATTTGTGTAGTGATTTCATACAGTAATTCGTAGCCAGTGAACGAAGATACTGATATCTAGACTCGTTATTTCCCAGGTATAATAAGAAGGTATCTAATAGTTTTAAACGTGGAACAATCTGTTCGTTTCTTTTTAACCATAGGCAACTTTTCGATAAAATCATCCTTTGCCGACTTGAAAGTTATAAATTGTTGAACATCAAAGGTTCTGCTGAAGACTATCTGAGACGCCTTTTTCCAACTTTAATTCAACTTTGGCCTGATGGTTGGATTACTAATGCGTAAGTATCTGTCATTTTTAATTATTTTCACGCCACTGAGCTAGTAGGTTCGTGAATATGCCATATGTTTCCGAATCTTAAACACTTAATTTCAAAGTCTGTCAGTTAGTCTGATCCACGTGGGCTTCGTGATTCTGGCTCTCAGTACTTTAGAAATCAGTGATTGAGGTAACTGAATTATTCATAACTCATCACGGGTTACAATAAAGACGGTAAATTCAGTTTTTTCAAGAAGAATATTTGACATTGTACTTCTCATATTTCTCTCATGTTCACTAATTCATTTTCATCAGAACAAGGAAACCATGAGTTACTGAACAAACAGAATTCACTTTTGTTTATGACTTCTTTTTTCAGCTACAAAAAGCGCAACATTTACATATGAATATGAAAGTAAGGTGTATTATTAAACAGAACTAAGATAAAAACGTTTGACTTTTAATGAAAGTAAAACCATTCAAACCAATTTAATGACAACTCAATTTACAGTTATTATTCTTTACCTATATTGTCACCATTTCTTAAGTACATTCTTATTTATACTAGTCCTTCCCTTTTTATGACTTTCCATTTCTTTGCTATTCGATGTAGTAGTATGGACTGATGAAATCTTTTTTCTAAGTTATTTCTTTTCGACTAGCTTATCACTCCTGCTTCTTCTATGACTCATATTTAATCAATAACTTAATAAATTTTTTCTTTGAGGTGTGATTACACACTAACGACTTACATTCCTAACACTAGATTAGATAAATTGAAGTAACTTTGTTGATTTTAAATTCGTGATCTAGTGATACTAAAAGTTATTTTTTATAAAAATCAGTGATTGAAACTCAATAACGTTTTGCTGAATTGCCTATTCCGAGCTATACCAAACAGAAAGACATTTAGGTGGGTATTTTAGCATTCCGGCACAGCGAACAGATAATGGTGATCGTCCGTTGTAACTGTGCTCAGACAATCGTTTATTTTTAGCAAACACTAATTTTAAGCATAAGAGACATCGTCTAACATGGCGACCCCCTGCACCAAAGCAACGATGAACTTAAATAGACCAGATTGCCATCAGTCATCGTTGGAGAGGGTCGGTAGAAGATTGTCGCTCGTTCTAGAATACTTGCTTGAACTCCAACCATGCTCTAATGCGGGCACGCATCTGCATGCGCTTAACTGGACGCAGAAAAGCCACACTAAGAAGACCCATTAGCATTGAATTGAGTGACAAGAAAGCCGAAAGTAGATTCCAGGAACAACTAAGGTCACACTTAGGTAGCTCTGGAAACGAGTCTGACACAGATGTTACTTGGAAAGATATACAAACAGCTGTGGAAACAGCAGTGACATCTATTAATGATTTAAACCAAAGGGTCACAAAAAACCAACGGATTTCTTCTAAGTCTATTGAACTAGTGAGCTGTCGTAAACTCATCCCATCAGGCTCTGAACATGATGAAGAGCGAAAGCAAATTAGATCTAGGTTAAGCAAAAGTCTAAGGAACGATTGTGAGCAGTGGCAGGCAACGAAAGCAAAAGAGATGGAAAAGGCAGCGGCTGTAGGTAACACTAGACAGCTCTACAGACTAATAAAAGAAACTGGAATTAAGAAGTCGAATGTGAGACTATCTCGGAAAAAGATGACAGTTATCTGCTCTCAGCCCAGATGTTAAGAACGATGGGCGGGACACTTTAAGGAGCGGTTCAGCTGGACTTCAGTCACTCTACAACTACCTGCCATTCCCAGATAGCCTGAATGGAACATTGAAGTAGGTCCCCCAACTCTAACTGAGGTTCAAAAAGCTATAGTTAATCTGAAACGAGGAAGAGCAGCTGGTTCAGATGAATTGGCTCCAGAGGTCTTTAAGTATGGTGGTCCAGTTTTAGCGACTAGGTTGACTAATATTTTAGCTAAAATCTGGGAGTTGGACGTAATCCCATTTGACTGGTCACAATCACTGACTGTCCCAATATATAAGGGGTCAAAATCATCCTGTGACAACCATAGAGGGATTAGTTTGACTAATATAGTATCCAAAATACTAGCCTCAATAATTGTCCGTCGCCTAACTAAGACTCGTGAACTACAAACACGAGAAAATCAGGCTGGCTTTAGACCTGTTCGTGGCTGTACCGACCATATGCTCTCTCTTTATTATTTATTTATTTGTTTATTTGAACACATAAATATTGGTACAAGGGGGCACCAGATACATATTCACCACACAAAACAATGAGAATGGAGAGAGAAAAAGAATGTAAAGTGCGTATAAAAAAAAAGAACCATAACGACCACAGATTAGTGTGGAGTAGTGTGATAATAATAATGATAATAATAATAATAGTAATAATAATAATGGAAACGGAAAGTTACAACCAGAAGAATTCTTCCAGTTAAGGAAGTTTCAACCACCTTTTATGGAGAAATTAAAAGTAGGTTACAGCAGGATAGCCACTGGCTTCTATTCTGAGCCATATCTGATAACGTCTCTAGCCACTGTGTAGCACCATCTCTTAGACCCCAACCAGGGAGTCGTGAAGGACCAACACAAGCCAGGCCTTTTCAGCTTTCTTGCATACCACGACACCATGTCATACACTAACCACCTCTCCGCTTTTTCCAACCAGTCCCAGAATCGGCAAATAATGCACGACGTGGACTTCTCTGGGAGGACATTCGTAGAACATGTCCAAGCTACCGAAGTCGGTGTTTCAAGATGGTGACACCCATTGGATTATCGTCTCTGTGCCCGAACACACGATGCCAAACCTCTGCATTACTAACATGGTGTTCCCACTGGATGTCAGCAATCTTTCGGAGACAACGATGATCAAACACAGAGAGTCGTCTAACATCCTCAACTCGGAGAGGCCATGTTTCATAAGCCTAGAGCAGAACTGCTCTCACCGACGCGTTCTAGATCCGAACTTTTACTGCCAGACTGACATCACGAAGGCGCCAAAGATGTCCCAGATTTGCATAAGCCCCTTCGGCTTTCACTATACGTGCATCGATCTCATCACTCACGCCCCCACCAGCACTTATGCAGCTACCACCTAGATACACGAACTTTTTTTAGAGAGGGAGGGTGAGCCCTACCCGCTCTCGACCATCCCAGGGCTTTTTGGGGCCTCTCCATATATTTATATCATATATTATATATACATTCTGTTTTTTTAGCGCATTATGGCGTACTGGCTTACCAATCTTCCAAAAGTTTTGCAGCGATAAGTGAGTCACGTTATTCTTGAACAAATGTAAATATTTTGTTTTTCTATCATCCGGTAGATATAAATAAAACGCTTGAGTGGTGTCTGGGAATAGATTTGTTAAATAAAAATATTGACGATAGCATCATTTATGTCAAGATTCGTAGTACTGCTTAGCTGTTAATAATAAATTAGATTTTAACTTAACAACTATGTAGTGGATGACTTTAGTTATGTTACCTTACACTGATTGACTCTAAGTAGTAGTGACTTATCATGTTTGTCTAGTTCTCAGTGTTGAGCGAACTTTATCCATTACTCTACAGTGTGACTCTGTTTTGAATCCCATACAGAGCATCAGTTTCGCCATGATTGCAAATACACCTTGATGACAGTTGTCAAATAATATTAAGTCTAGTTCTCAGGTCCTCTGCCGATGGGGTCCAATCCCTTAACACTAAGTGATCTTATTAGTTGTCTATTTAAAATTACTGAATATTGACATATTCCATGGAATTCATAATTTTATTTTGTTTGTGATGGCGTTTTGGTCTACCTATAAATATTGCAGGATGTCTAATGTTTTATGTTTTTTTTCCAGTTTATTAATCAGCTTTACATAAGTAGAGACAGCCAATATATTAATATAAAATTATTTTTTCATCACTAGCCGATCTCACTAGGATATTTGTTAAAGACTAAGTGGCATCACTGAGAGGTGCTTTCCTAGATAGTGTTATCGTTATTTACAGATTTCTATTCTTCGTTGTATTCTAGTCATTCATGATTGGCAATTAATGGTTTAGTCATTTTTGAACCATCTTATCATGAAAAAATCCATTCTGATGATAGTTTTATCCGAGATTAGCTTAACAAATATACGTGAAAGAATATCGTCTATAGTAGCTGTTTGTTTTTGTTTGCTTTTATAATTTATTGTGGTGTCCGATTTCATTTATGCATAACAAATTTATTTGGATTATTATTTTTAACAATGAATACAATATTTGTTATTTCGTCTTAGTGGTTTGAGCAACAGCACTTCAGCATCTCAATCGCTTGCACGACCTACGAACAACAATAGCAACCATAACAGTTCTACGCATACAAATAATGGGAGAAGTCACAATTCACCTTCTTCTGCAAATACAACACATCTTCCTGACTCTAATGCTCTATCACAACAAAATTCACCTGTTGTCATTGTACCCCATATTTCTTCGAATATTTCGGTTTCAACTGTCTCCAAAACAGTTCCCAAGGTACCCGATCATGTAGTATCAAACAGTAGTCCACGTACAAGTTTATCGGTTGTTTGCAGCCCTAAATCTAGCCCTCATTTAGTTCCTGTCACAAAACATTGTCAATCACTTCCTACAGCTCACTCACCCACACAACCAATTAATCGCCCCAATTTCCGAATTACCCCATCTTCAGTTGCTCAAAGTTCAATTCATTCGAAAACTGTCAATACTAAGACTCCAGTAACTGTTTGCGTGGATACTGGAACTTCTCGCTTCTCGTATGTCCTGCAATCAACCACAGCATCTATATCTCCAAATTCATTAGTAGTTCCTGTGTCAACTTCAACATCTCAGAATTCACAGTTAAATCGAACACCTATTTTACAGAATGAAGCTGTTATAGGTCGAACGGCTAACCCGGGTATACCTCTGCGTCTTGTCTCATCTAGTTCTTCTAATCCTGTAGCCACTATTTTAGTGTCCAAGGCGGTACAGCTTAACTCAGAACTGGGCAAATCTACAGTGATCAATCCAGTAGCTATGAAAAGGTATATTTTATTAAATGCGTCAGATAATTTGAGCATATCGCATACCAGTTTTGGTAAAGTATATCGTTGAGAATGTTATTTATAGTCGTCATATGAAACTAAGATAAAATAATACTTATGTACACCAGTCTTCGACGTGGGGTCCAGCACAGTTTCCCGTTTATTCAAGTCACCATGCCCGTAAGTACATCAGAAAGGGGAATCAACATGATAAGATGTAGATAAGAAGAATTAATGTAAACTATGATGGATTTTAAACATAGAGCATATAATGCGGTGATGTATTTATAGTGTGGAATTCGTTCTACGTTTTTACCTTTCGCTTAGGTAGTAATTAAACTAAATAATATCATAGCCAACAAATTACTTTTTTAAGATGGATATTTTGACTGAATCGGTGGTCAATGCTGCTGATAAAAAAGTATGTTTCGTTTTATAGTTGATTTCAAGTCGTTAAGTGTTTACAAAAACTAGCCTTTTAATGGATTTAATTCAGCATATTAAGACGATGGTTCTAATACGAATGTGGTGAACTGGGTTATCAATGACTAACCTACACTCATTATTTCAAGATATTCGCTTGTTAAAAGACCATTTCCATTGTACACTAATGAAGTTATTCATTTTATAGTCTGTATGTAGTGGCTAATTCTTACCCAATCAGCGCTAGTCGATACTTGGAGAACACTCTAGAAATATTCTTATGTAAAAACTATAAATATACTAACGTTTACCCTATTGTGCTTCTTACTTCCATCTAACCTCGTTATTTGGAATGTAGTCTTTTCCCTGTTCAACCATGTTCTGATTTGGGGACTTGTCGAGTGAATTGTTATCGAGCACTAGGGATAGCTGGGTTATAACGTAAGAGAGAAGTATAACAGTAATCTATTTACTTTTTATTGCAGTGTAAAATGTAATGATCTGGTACGAATGTAAAAGTGTTTATTACTGTTTCAGACAATCATATCCCCAGTGTCAATCTTCACAGCAAGCTCCCACTGCTCAGCTAAAGGTTAATGAACTTGGAAAGTCAATGGTTTCTGTTAATGATGGTTTTCCAAAACCGTGTGCACCAAACGTCCCATCGAATTTTCCCCATGATTCAAATAAGTTTAGCCAGCAAATTACCCATCAGTCTGCAGCTGTCGCTCTATCTAGCCAACAGATTGACCAACTACAACATCGCGCATTGTCTAGTACTGGGAGAGTGGGATTGAATTTAAATCCGACACTAGGTGCGGCATCAACTCTCCTCTTTCCCCCACAACCTCCTCCTGCTCATCAATCTAAATACCAGAGCTTGTCTTCACAAAAAGAGGATCCTAGAGAAAATATTATTGGGAGTATACCTTCTGCTCATTCTAGTAACAACCAAAAATTATGATAAAACTCTTATGTTAGCTCGTGAATTTATTATGTAAACACTCAGGTGAGTTGTTTGAAAAACGTCTTATTTTAAGTTAGTTTACTTGTTGTGACAGTTACTGTACTTTCAATGTTCTAGGTACCGAACAAAAGTTTAACCAACTTAGCAATTACTGACAATTTTTGTAGTAGCCTTTAATAGATTTATTACTTGAGCAATCTGTAGATCTGAGTATAATCGTTTTTTTTTAAACTGTGATACTAATTTAGTCGAATTCGTATATTTGTGTGAATCGCGATTGGAAAATCATGGTCTTTTACAAGCATCTTTGGTAATTAGGACTTTTATCGTTGTAATGATAATGAGTGTTTTTGCGATAACATTTACTGATTCTCGAAACCAAGGAAGCAATGATTTAATTACACTCCAATCAATACTGAGGAGTTTATAAGAAAACAAAACAATCAAATGTTTTCGTGGAAGAGCTTTTCTATTTTGAGAAGAAAGGATTATATTTATATATTTGAATGTGACCTTAGGAACTTTCCAAAAGATTTTCTCGACAGTGATACCTAGGCCAGTTGGTGGAAGACCAGTCGTCGAAAAATAGGAAGAAGACTCCCCTTTGTAGAAACAATTTTGACACAACTGACCTCCATTAACTGATGTCAAGTGTGTTTGTCGTATATGTATATAACATATATAATATTCCAATAAGTAGAAAAATTAGATTTTTCGACGTTTTGTGACTCAGTGTAAGCCACTTCAGAGAATAAATAATCAAACGATTTGGTTATAATATAATCGTGTAGCATTCGCCTCATAGCTCATGGTAAGAGCTTTACATCGTTTAGTAGCGTAAAGTATTTTGAATTATTTGAGATATGTTTTTTAAATGTACAGTGAATTCCAGTAAAAAGCTTTCTGTTAACTTCGTTTTTCAGATGAATCCAGTTTTATTGATCACTAAATATATCTGACCCTCTGTATGTATTGATAAGTAGGAACATACGCATTTATATTGGGCATCTTAGACTAATTATTACTACTTCCATCATAGTTATCATTGCAGCTGTCCTTATCTTTTTCTTTCCCGATTGTGCAACATTACTCATCTAGTCCATCAATCATTCATTAAATTGATTTTATTTAAACTTTCCTTTTTTATCGCGTGTATCGTAATTTCTTTCAAATGTTTCTTATTCCGAAAGGAGTGTATGTATGAATTTACCTAACTCTGTTATTTCTTTTTTCAGCAAAATGATTTCTAGGTTAATAAACGAACAGTCTCTATGTTTCCTTATTGACATTGAAGTCAATAATTTGTTCTCTCTCTATATTTTAATGTTTTCTTCCGTCTTTTCTTATTTTCTTACTGTATCTCTTTTAACGTGTCGCTCAAAAAACACGCCATTATTACTTATCAGTGTATAAATTGTTTGGCATGGCTGAGTAAGTCTATACACATCTGGAACTATTAGAATTCTGTAACTTGACATATATATAATTGTAAGTACAATTATTTAGTATTATGTAATTATTGGGGTAAATGTTTTCTTCATATCATTACTGTCTTGTAAAGTGTGCATAAAAAGCAAATCGTTGATTGATTAGTCTTTCTTTTATCTACTATCACCTAAGTAAAATAGATGATGAAATCCAGTTTGAACACTACCAATTATGATGTGGAGATAATCAATTGACGGGGGTCCATAAACATTTCATTTAAATCCAGTGTTGAAAACGTCTGCGATAGTGGTGTAAAAATATTTGAGTGGACCTATCCTTAGATCGCTAGAAAGTTTGTATGCCTAAATAGATTTGTGAATCCTGATGGAGTTTTCGTACAGGCCACTCAAATCATTTAGGAACTAGTGCCCGTAAGTACGATGTTTGCTTGGCACCTTCAGAATCCACACTGTTTCACAAGCTTACGTACCAAACTGTTATTGTGGATCTTTTTAACTAGTCGAAATGTTCATACATTTAGTAGTTTTGTGAGTTAAGGTCGACATACCTGAGTCAGACACAGCAAAGTCTCATAATTTGGATTATCTGTAGCATTGATGATGTAAAAGTCCGAATATACAACGCGTTAGGGAAAGCAGTTCTGTTACATAAATCTAATGCATAGTTCAGGTGAGGATGTGTGATCACCATTGTCTCTCAAGGATTTTTATTTTTTATTTATTTGGACACATGAATATTGGTACAAGAGAGCGCCAATATATATGCGCCACACAAAACAATGAAAATTCGAGAGGAATACAAAGAAAGAAAAAAAAAGCTAAGGAGCGCAACAAAAAAAGAGAGAACAATAACGAAGAGATTGGTGTAAGGTAATGTGCTAGTAATCAGGGAACGCAAAGGTACAATCGGAAGAAATCTTTCAGGTAAGGGAGACACAACCACTTTTTATGAAGAAAGTAAAAGAAGGTTACAGCAGGATAGCCACTGGCTTCTATTCTGAGCCATATCTGATAACGTCTCTAGCCACTGTGTTGCACCATCTCTCAGACCCCAACCAGGGAGTCGTGAAGGACCAACACAAGCCAGTCCTTTGCAGCTTTCTTTCATGCCACGACACCATGTCATGCACTGACCACCTCTCCGCTTCTTCCAACCAGTCCCAGAGTCGGCAAATAATGCACGACGTGGAATTCTCTGGGACGACATTCGTAGAACATGTCCAAGCCACCGAAGTCGGTGTTTCAAGATGGTGACACCAATTGGATTATCATCTCTGTGCCCGAACACACGATGCCGAACCTCTGCATTACTGACATGGTGTTGCCACTGAATGTCAGCAATCCTTCGGAGACAGCGATGATCGAACACAGAGAGTCGTCTAACGTCCTCAACTCGGAGAGGCCAGGTTTCACAAGCATAGAGCAAAACTGCTCTCACCGACGCGTTGTAGATCCGACCTTTTACAGCCAGACTAACATCACGAAGGCGCCAAAGATGGCCCAGATTGGCATAAGCCGCTCTGGCTTTCACTATACGTGCATTGATCTCATCACTCACACCCCCTCCAGCACTTATGCAGCTACCCAGATACACGAACTTCTCGACTACTTCAATCTGCTCACCATCCAGGGTGAGTACAGGATTAGAATCCTGCCAGTCTTGTAGAAGTACTTTGCACTTCGAAGGTGCAAAGCACATACCATACCTACGGACACTGATCGCCAACTGATGAAGTGTGCATTGCATGCCTTGGGCATTATCGCACAGTAAGACAATATCGTCCGCATACTCAAGGTCGAGAAGTCTTTCTCCAGGCAACAGATCCACATCGCCATTACTTACATTCATCAGAGCTGTTTCCAGAATGTCATCGATGGCAAAGTTGAAGAGGAATGGTGAGATTGGGCAACCCTGCCTAACCCCACTGCTCGAATGGAACAATGGAGAAAGGTGGTTGTATGCCCTCACTCTGCCTGAGGTGTTTGTGTATAGGGCTTTTAGGATGTTAATAAACTTCTCAGGCACACCCTTCTTCAATAGACAATCCCAGAGAACAGTCCTATCCAACGAATCGAAGGCAGCCCTGATGTCAAGAAACACTACGATTGTTGGCCTTTGATAAGTATGGCGGTGTTCTAACATTTGGCGGAGGGTGAAGATATGATCAATACATCCTCGACCAGAACGAAACCCAGCCTGCTCCTCGCGAGTCAATCTTTCTCGGGTTTTGAACAACCTACGAAGTATGACGGAAGCCAATAGCTTGGACGCAATCGGAAGTAGACTTATCCCCCGATAGTTGTTACAGGAACGACGTGAACCCTTTTTAAAGATAGGGACAACTATCGACTCATTCCATGACGTTGGTACACTCTCTAGTCCCCAAACCTTTGTAAACAACGTCGTCAATTCCTTAGTCAAAAAGTCACCACCATCTTTAAAAAGGGCCGGAGGTAAGTCATCTGGGCCAGGTGATTTGTAGCTCTTCAAGAGTTGGAGTTCCTTGAGGACTTCCGTTTCATTTAGTGGATCAGTCGTCACCGGCCATGGAGGGCAGGACAGTCTGATCGATGTTTACGGAGCAGCAGACCACATGAACTGCCCATCATCCAGGATGCTGATAAATGTTAGTGATTGGCACACCGTCATCCTCACAGGTTGTTTCAATCACAGGAACCAGAAGAAACCCAGTGCTTAAAAGCGGGACGTTTCGCAAACCCACAACTGACTGTTCCCGCCATTTTCATGGCGTCATGCAATTGCAACCAATGCTCATCTATACTTTTCAGTGGAATGGTAGCTAGCCTAGAGGCTAGCTCGGTTCGATACTTACTTGCAACAGAAGTTGCAACCAGCTTGCTAATATCAGTCCGTTGATGGCGGTCACTTCGTTGTCCACTGAAAAGTAAGGTAAGATTGGCGCAGACCAAAGCATGGTCAGAGTCCAGATAGGTACTCCAAAAGGAGCGGCAGTCTCGTACACAAACACGCCAGCGGTAGCTGATCGCGATGTGATCAATCTGAGTCCAGGCTTGAGATGCAGAGGGAGGGCGCCAGGTGGCAAGTCGGCGATGACTGTGCCGGAAGTCAGTGCTCTCCAGAAACAGGTTATGATCTACGCACAGTTGCAATAGACGGTCTCCATTATCTGACCTGCGATCAAAAAGTCCTCATCGGCCACATAAACGACTCTCTTCTGTGCCTAGACGCCCGACCTGAGCATTGAAGTCTCCGGCTAGTACTACAATATCTGTCGAACGCACTTTCTGGAGAAGAACAGATAACTGGTGGTAAAACTCATCCTTGATTGCATCCGGGCTGCAATCTGTCGGGGTATAGGCGGAGATGACGAAAAGACATCGTTTCTCACGCCGATTTCTTCTCACTTTGATGGAACTTTCTAATCTAACAGCACATAACTGACTGTTAATGGGGATCCAATCGATTAGTGCTGCCTCAACTCTAGCGTTTAGTGCGACACCAACGCCAGCCAGACCAGACGAAGATGCCACAGCGTGCCCGGATAAACGCATGCAAAACAAGCCTTTTGAAGCGACAGATGGAGAGCAAATTTGTAGTGCTTCACCAGAGTATCGAATATGGGTCTCAGATAGACAACAGACGTCGATATTAAGACTTTATAAAGACATAGTTAACCCTATCTGTTTTCCGATTTGCATTAGTGTGCGAACGTTGAAGGCAGCCAGTTTGAATGGTGCACGTGGTTTCAGAAAAACTGCTTCAGTATTCGTATTTGGTGTTAGCATTCAATTTTCAACCAGTCAGTGACTCGAGAACGTTTAGATACAGTCGGATTTCCACCAAAGACGAGCCGCTGTATAAGTATTAAAGAGGGTGAATAATGTGGGAAATAATAATAATAATAACGACAATAATAGTAATAATAATAGTATTAATAATGACAATAATAGTAATGATAATTATTTGAATCGACTGATTGTTTTTCGGAGCGATAAAAGTAGTTGCCAAAGACATAGAGTTCATCGTTTGTGTGTGGGCTGTGATACTGCCCGGGTGCCCAAACCGAAGCAGGTGGTTTTCTTAGGGGGCCACTCCCCGAGCCTTTGACCTAAAGGTCTAACCCACAATGCAGTGGAGCATCGTAAGGTGATGCAATCCCATGGTAGCCAGTGACCAAAGATTGGTTCATACGCCATTTGTTCCCACAGGATACTGGAGCCCATGTGCACCATTGGTTTGTGATCCGGTTAAAGCGCCGGACATTCGCTTTTCGTCCTCTCATTTTCGTAAACAACACCCCCGCCACGAGAAGGCAATGAGTAGGATTGCTCACATTTGGTGGCAGCACCGTAATTAATGTCGAGGTCCGGCAGTGTGTTCGGATGCTTTGACGATAATTAAATTGGTGCCGTAACCTCGAAACACTGGAAATTTTCTCACAGCATATTAACCTACGCTGGGTATTGGTGGAGAAAACAAACATAAAATTGTCCCTGCGAAATAAGAGATAGCTACATAGGACTGATCAGTGAATTGACCGGGTAGAAAACGAAACAACTAGTGTTGTCTGAGGAGGGCAATGCACTGCAAACTGATCGAAGTTGTAAATTTAGACTCAATGATTTCCCGCTTGTCACAAGACAAGGATTTTCTTTACATTTGTAGAGCTATAATTTACGAGTGTGGTGCCTTAGCCTTGGAAAGAATATTTTGCCAGTAAATCATTCGCTTGTCAAGGAAATTATTTCATCAACTTTCTACCTTAATGAAGGAAGCCCATTTAAACAAATCATAAACCGCTTCCGAATTTATTTGAAAGTTGGTGCTTTTAATTCATTCTTTGTTATAAAGACAAACGTGTACTTAATGAAACACCGGGTTGTACGTTTGATCAGCTGTCACATTTGGAACATTATAGAGACTATACTGCTTAATATTCACATAATTATGAAGGTTATAGTTTTCATCTTACTGGAGTGCTAATTTTAAGCCCAATCAATTTAAGTGTTAATGCGTTCTTCAATTTTTTCTATCATAAAAATAATTTCAGGTGATATTCCCACTCTTGTTTTAATGAATATTTTATAGTCAGTTATGTTAAATAGGATTTGTGCTGTCAATTGTCTAAATTATATTTCACTATGCTGAACCTATGAGCAGGTATTGATCATTTAAGAGAAACTTCCTTAACAAGTTACATTCCAATTTAGGTTTCTATTGGAATTTAATCTACACAATACAGATTATTTAAACTAGACACGTTTTTCAATTTAAAATATGATTAGTAGCTTCAGTATTTTATAGAAATATGTGACTGTAGAATTAGGGATTGGGTTCAGTATACAATCGGTGATTGACTGCTACACAGAGGGTAATGTGATCATGAAAAATCTACACAGGTTTACGTTATAAAATCAAACGGAACACAAAATCTTACTGCAACCATTCCTCAAAGCTTGACATGTAACTATTTTCTGGACTGTTGACCAAAGTTTCAAGTAATACTCGTGAGCGAGGTGTATTTTAACCCGAGTGTTTATGTACCTACTTGAACTGAACATTAACACTTATTACTGGAAACATGGAATCGGTTTGCTGAACTTCTATGGCTGTCGACATTTTTGTGAAGAGATAATTATTATTAATAGTTGACACATCTAGTTGAATCTCATATGCTATCAGTGGTTAGTTAATTCGGTTTGGTGAATCAGAAACCTAGACGCTAACAATATTCACACCGAATTCCTGTATAAT